GGTGGTAGTGGTGGTGTTGTTGAGGTGGTGCTGACGGCGGTGGTGGTGCGTCTGCAGTGGTTGTGCTGTGATTTGGGATGAGGTTTGTTGGATGGTTTTTGCAGGTGGGAGTGGTGGTGTTGTTAAGGTGGTGGTGCTGCGACGGTGTTTGAGTTGGAGAGGGTGGTGGGGTGGTGAGATTATGTGGAGTTCAGTTGGTGTCGGTAGTGGAGTGGCAGCTTTCATTGGTGGTGTGGCGTTGGTGCTGTTGTGGTAGAGCCGAGGAGAGGGTGGTTGCAAGTGACGGTGGTATGTGACAACTATTTGGCGTATATGACCAAAATTCGGTAATCTGTGACTAAAAATATAATCTGTGACCAACCATTTTGTTAACTGTGACTAAAAATTATATAATCTGTGATCGTAAAAAAATCCGTGACCAACTAATTTTGAAATATGTGACTATATGACCTATAAATTTTGATATGTGACCAACGAATTAAGTGTGACCATAAAATTCTGTGATATGTGACTAAAAATGTAATCTATGACCAACTCATTTTGAAATCTGTGACCTAAAAATTATATAATCTGTGACCGTAAAAAAATGTGTGACCAATTAATTTGGATTGTGACCGTAAATTATAAATCTGTGACTAGAATGGTCATCGAAATAATTGTCGAAATCGGAGCAGTCGTCGGAACTGTCGCCGGAGAAGAGTGATTGTCGAAATGATCATCTGAATAATCACCGAAGCGGTACGGGTGGTGCATGTGGGATGAGTTAATTATATTATATTATAATTAAATATTAAATAATAAATTGATTTGATAATTTATTATTTCATTAAAAGAAAAAAACCTGATTTTTGAATTTTCAAACTATAAACCTGATTTTTGAATTGGTGTAAAGAATACACTTTATTTATGAATTTTTCCCAAAAATTAGTGGTATTTGGGCCAGAAACCCAAATGTTAAGCCCAACAAGCAAAGCGCTTGTTTGGGTATGGACCTACCCAATTGTGCCGTCCCCCCTTGCCCATGGCTGCACAAAAAACCTTCAAACAACAAATCAAATCAAACAAAAGTCATTGGTTTGAAACTTGGTTTGAATTCACGTGGACCAATCAATATTTTGATTTCAAATCAAAACAAATCATTTGAAAGGGTCTGGTTTAGGTCTCGATTAAAATCGTTTAAACTACACCAAATAAGTTTTAATTTCTTATTATTTAAAAAAAATTAATTTTACTAAATTAAGAATTTTCATATAATTGAGTACAATGCAATACAAAATTAATTTGACCAACTTATTAAATAAAGGTAAACAATAAGAAGGAATCAATTGAAAGAATGATTCCATATCCAATTGAGATTGGAGGATACAGGGAATTTGTCTCTATGCCAGGAGGGTGGGTTTTTTTTTTTTTTTCCCTGATTAAATTCAAGTAGAAACAAATAAAATAAGTTGATAATTAAAATAAGATGGGAAGTGATTAGGAGATTTATTTTCATGGATTGTTTGGGTGGTCCCTTGGCTTTGACATTATGAGGACATAATAATCCTTTAATTATACATTCTCAAGAATCTAGAATAAGTTAAGACTATCTTCCAGAACTAGTCAAATTTAGGCCACATTTGTCGAAAATGAGTTTCGAAATAATGAATTTTTGAAGAATGTGTAGTCAAAAAGTAGATTTTTTTTTTTGAATTTTCGCGAAAAATTTTTTATTGTGAGAATATGTGATTGAAACCCTGTTTGGCTTCCATTAAAATTATAAGTCATTTTTCTTCATCCTCTTATCAACGATACATTCTCCCAAAAATTATTATTCGAAAATATATTTTTTCCAAATTCTCATTATAACGGGGACCAAAACAAGGGTTGAGGAAAAAGGGGTTTTAAGTTAATGGTAGACAAATAGGGGCTTAGTTTCCTTAAAAAAACTACGATAGTATATGTAAGAGTGAGCACAATTGGACCTAACTAAATATTAATAAGAATTTTTCTTATAGAACTAAACGATTTCATGTACAGTGATGAACTAAATCGAAGCAGGCGATTCAATTAGTTATAGTTCAGTTCGTTTCGATTCTTTTTATGCTTAAAAAAATAGTATATTGTAATGTGTTGTATAAATCTTTTAATTTCATTTTCACATTTTCTGTCTGTACAAATTTTCTCCGTTTGATGGTTTTTGAAACTAATTATAAGCATAATTTTATATATTAACAAATGTAAGATGTCAAAATTGTCAACAATTTCATTCTCAATTGATTAGTCCTATAAAATTCAGGATGAGTACTTTCCAATTACTGAAAAATCTGGTTTTCATTTTTTTTTAGTCAAAATGTTGTCAAATCGAAAATAATAAGTTACTTATTTTGATGATGAAAACATGCAGAAGAAGTTCAAACGATAGTTACAATTATTTACGGTGAGACAACAACAGAGATACAACATCTTAAAGGAGGGAACATGTCTTGTTCTGGACCAAAAGAGAGGAGCTAAATCGAAGTTGTGACGAGTTAAGATCAAACTCCAAGAGATTATCCTCCATTTGATGCGCACCTATGACAATTGAGGTTCTTGGATTTGATCCTCCATCCACAAATGCGAGGCATAAAACATTCTTATTCACTGCAAACGTTGAATTGGCACCATTTATTTTCCAAGAAACATCATTTCCGGGCAAAACTAGTTCAATTATTGGAACAGAAGGGCCAGTGCTCATGGCGGAAATTGTGGCAGAACTGAAACATGCTCTAAATGGTGCGACTGCGTTGACGCTTTTGATCTTCATATATGATGCCGCCTTGACAAAAGCTATGGTTAAAGCTTTATAGATGGAAGAATGGAGTGTGGTGAAATTTTTTACGGTACTAATTTTGGTGCCTCCAATTCCATCCCTGCCAATTGTGAAGTAGGAACTTTTGAGAGACAGGTTTTCCATGGACTCTAATAGACTGTACATGAATGCAATATTCATCAGACTGTTCATTCTCGGGAGAAATAGGGCTTGTTTGTACATGGTTTATGATTAGAGGTGTTGCCATAAGTGATTTTGACACATTTGATTTGTTTGACAACCCCCCACCGACATACATTTTCCCGATCCCTGAAGATGGAAAGCAGAGAGAAAACATGTCAGGTAAACTGAGCTTAGTAGCACCCTCTTTATGCAAAGAAATTTGAATCGTCGCAAGGCCTAATATCCCAGTAGTGCCACTAGCTAGACCCTGGAAGGAACCTGATAACGCGTAAGAAAAGGGAAACCGAGGCACCTCCACATGATTTTTTGATTACAATGTGTCCTCTGCGAATCCTCCTCAGAATACAATAATACCCTGGAATAGATTGTAAGGGAGTCACCACAGGTGTCGTTGGTGCACCAGGGCCTAGAGGCCCGTAACATCCTTCGCATCCAAACCCCTTGGCTATTTCACATTTTTTAGAGTCACAATGGATTGGAGCATAGGTGGATGAGGTATAGCTATCACAGTTGAACAACAAGAATCGTTCTCCAAGATCGATTACTGCATTCACCTTGGCACGCTTACTGCCCATTTCGATAGAAGTATAATATTGTAAGGTCTTGGCATGGCATCCTTCCTTACGGGAAAGACTGGGCCATGTCGAGCGTAGGAAGTAGATACAAGAATGGCAAACAAGAAAATGAATGAATTGAAAGAAGCCATTGGTATATTATCATTGATAGAACATGGACATATTTATGGACTTCCAGCAATGGCATTAAAGAAATTTTGATTCATCAAAGTTGGAGTCCACAGGCTGCAACCTCCACATTTAGTTTTTGAACTACCGAAAGGGGAAGTAATAAAACCTGTCAGCTTATCTTTCCCCACAGGCTGAAACAATTGTTGGACCTTAAACTTTGTAGCAGTAGCACTTGCGCGATATAGAAGAAAGATTTTTGTAGTCGATTGATAAAAGAAAATTGAACTTTAGAGTAAATAGTAAGAACTTTTAATCGATTTAAACTCGACTAATCAATTATATAGCTGTTATTCATGGGGAAATAGCTATTTAGTCAAACAGTGGATTTTGTTTTATTGGATACAAATATTAAATATCATAATCAAAATACAAGTATGCAAATCTTGATCATCTTAAAGGCGGGAACAAGTCTTGTTCTGGACTAAAAGGGAAGAGCTAAAGTGAAGTTGGGACGAGACAAGATCAAACTCGAGCAAATTATCCTCTAATTGGTATGTACCGATGACAATTGAGGTACTTGGAAAAATCGAGGTTCTTGGACTCGATCCTCCATCCACAAATGCAAGGCACATAACATTCTTATTGACTTGGAACATCGAATTGGCACCATATATCTTCCAAGAAACATCGTTTCCGGGCAAAACTAGTTCAATTATTGGGACAGAAGGGCCGGTCGCAGTTGTGGAAATGGTGAAGGAACTGAAACATGCTCTAAATGGTGCCACTGCGTCGACGCTTTTGATCTTCATGTCTGATGCTGCTTTGACAAAAGCCCTGGTCAAAGGTTTGTAGATTGAAGAATGCAGTGTAGTAAAATTTATCATGGTATTGATTTTGGTGCCACCAACTCCATCTTTGTCAATGTTAAAGTAGGAACTTTTGACAGACAAAGGTTCTCCTTGGACTCTGATGGACTGTACATTGATAAAATATTCATCAGAAGGTTCACCCTGGACTGAGATAGCAGGGCCAGTACTTACAGGGTTTATGATGAGGGGTGTTGTGATAAGTGATTTTGACACGTCTGATTTGCTTGATGATCCTCCACCGACATACAATTTTCCGAGTCCTAAAGATGGAAGGCAAAGAGAAAACTTTTCGGGTAAATTGAGCTTATTTGCAACTTGTTTGTGCAAAGAAATTTGAGTCCTGGCAAGACCTAGTATCCCAGTTGTGCCACTGGCTAGACCCTTGGTGTAATCTGAGTCAGTGCAAGCAAAGGAAAATTGGGGCACCTGTATATGATCTTTTGAGTAGAATGTGTCCTCTCCAAAAGTTCCACTAGGAATAAAACTCTCAAATGGGTTAAAAGGGGAGGCACCACAGGTGTTGTTAGTGCAACCTGGGCGCCGTGGCCCGGGACATTCCACCAAACATCCAGACCCCTTGGCTATTTCACATTTTTGTGAGTCACAAGGGATTGGAGCATAGGTGGACGAGGTGTAATTATCGCACTCGAACCACATGAATCGTTCAGAAAGATCGATTACTGCATTCACCGTGGCACGGTTGCTGCCCATTTGTATCGAGGTGTAATGTTGAAAGGTATTGGTGTCTTTTCTAATGGGAAGGATTAGACCATTTTGAGCATAGGAAGCAGATAAAAGAATGGCAAAGAAGAAAACAAAGGAGTAGAAAGAAGATGCCATTGGTACAAAATTATTGGATAGAATTTGTATTGCAATTCCAAGTGAGATCGCAAGGTCTATTTATGGATATCTAACAATGGCATTACAGAAATTATGGCTGGTCAAAGATGGTGTCCAGATCAGCATTCAATGTTAGAGAAAGTCAAACTTTAGACTTTTTATAGTCTACTTTAAATTTTACAAACATGATAGTTTCAACTTGTTGCATTCCTTGTAAACTCGACCTACTCGATAAACACTCTGTCCTATACTTGAAAAAATGGCCTAGTAACGTTTTGGAAAACTACTTTTTATAGCGGTGGGTTTTTAGGGACACACCAGTAAAAATTATGAATAATATGTAATTAATTTATAAATAATTAAACTTTGCCAAACATACACTGAAAAATAATATTCAAAATTATATTTGACAAGAGAGCGGTTAAAAGTGACTTATATATGAGCCTGTTTGGTAAAACTTTTCATTTTCTACAGTAAATCAATTCTCATTTTCAACCACACATTCTTCAATAAAATAATATTTTCCATCACATCAATACTTTTTTCTTCTTTTTCAACCACACATTTCCCATCATATCACTATTCAAAAATCAATTTTTC